CCAGGATGGTCTCGATCTCTTGACCTCGTGATCCACCCGCCTCGGCCTCCCAAAGTGCTGGGATTACAGGCATGAGCCACTGCGCCCGGCCAAAAAATTTTTAAGATAATTTCAGACTTCTGGAAAAGTTCCAAGGATAGTCAAAGAATTCCCATATATTCTTAAACCAGATTCCAGACATCAATATTTTATCACATTTGCTTTATTATTTATTTGCTAGACACACTTTATTTTCTAAATTATTTGAGAATAAGAACAAATGTGATGTTCCCTTACTCCTAAATGTCTTAATATGTATTTACTAAAACATGGACATTCTTTTTTATAGCCACAGTGCAATTATCAAAATCAAGAATACTGAAATATTTTCCAATCTACAGACCCTACTCAGTTTTTACCATTTGTCTCAGTAGTGCTTTTTATCACAAAGAAAATCTTGAAGCACATATTGCATATAGGGCTGGGGGCAATGGTTTACATCTATAATCCCAGCACTTTGGGAGGCTGAGGTGGGCGGATCACTTTAGGCCAGGAGTTCAAGACTAGCCTGACCAACATGGTGAAACCCCGTCTCTACTAAAAATATAAAAATTAGCTGGGCATGGTGGCGCACATCTGTAATCCCAGCTACTCAGGAGGCTGAGACACGACAATCACTTGAATATGGGAGATGGAGGTTGCAGTGAGCCAAGATCATGCCACTGCACTCCAGCCTGGGGGAAGAGCGAGACTCCATCTCAACAAAAACGAGGCAGATTTCTGTTCAATAAATGACATGCATTTCCATCAGTGATAGCTCATCAGTTGTGTAACAGGCTGTCTTTGAGAAAGTGAGCTCTCAGTCATTGGAGCCAACCAAGCCATGGATGATAGCCAATAGCATAGCTGTGAATGGGACTCCTTCCTTTTGAGAGATTACATTATGTGATTCTGTACATTAACTAAAAACTGTGTGCTGCAAAAGTATTACCATTCTGAAAATGATGGTGAGGAAGAATGTTTTAGAAGCCTGAGGTTCCCAAACTCTCTTGGATCATGATGCCCCTGGTGTCTTAGTAAGTTTTTCACAGTATCCCTAGACAAATAGTGACTTTCATGTTACAATTCTTTTGTGTTTATTTCCCTTGAAACTTTAAAATATTCTAAGGTGCTATGGTGCCCAGGGCACTTGTGCCCACAGTTTAAGAACTGTGGCTATAAGCAAAGACCTTAAATTGCGTGTCGTGTAGCATGATGACGATTAAGATTTGTATGCGTGTAAACAAAGGTTGGAAAGAAACACAAAGCCAAAGCAGTACATTTGGCTTACAGATGATTTAAAAATATTTAAAACCTTGTAAATCATGATTTTCTCCTGATTTATTCTCTGGGTGCTACTAAGGCACTTGTTTTAGTTTTTTTTTCTACAGGAAATAGCTGTACAAATAACATAAGGCTTTCAAACTCTGGGGCAGTAACAGTTCAGAGAATCTTATCTCTAAGGAGCTAGCGTTTTGTGATTGAAATGAGCTGTGTGTTCTCTTTTAGGACCATAGAATTTTTTGGCTGATTACAGGAATTATGTTCATGGGAAGTGGCCTTATCTGGAGGCGCCTGCTTTCATTCCTTGGACGACAGCTAGAAGCTCCGTTGCCTCCTACGGTATGAAGGACATGGTTCACGGCAGTATTGTGGAAGGGTTATGGTCATGGGCCCTAACATCAGACCACCTGGGCTTAAGTTGTCACAGGCACTGTGGCCCTTGTGAGTTATTTACTTTCTCAAACCTCTTTCAGTTTCCGTGTCTGTCAGTTAAGTCAGTATTATGTGCTTCATAGGGTTATGGGGAGAATTAAATGAGGTAATATGTGTAAAGCACTTATTGGCACACTGCCTAACACAATAAATAAGTTAGAAATAGTATTTATTTAGAATTCTCTAACAAACATACATTTAAACAGATGTTAGTAATTCTGGTATAAGGTTTTGTCATAACCAAATCAAAATGTAGGAAACATTTATAATATTCTCATAAGAGAGAAAATTCACCTGCATTTTCTTTGTACTTCAAGATGACACCACTTAAGACACTGATACTGCTTTAGTCCTTTCTTCGTTAAGTATTTACGTATCATTTTACTAGTGGCTTTCTTTTTAAAAATGACAAACTAAAATTACTATTTCTGCTTTATTTAGATGGCCTCTTTTTCTAAAAAGACTCTTCTGGCAGATAGAAGCATGGAATTGAAAAACAGCCTCAGGCTGGATGGACTTGGATCAGGAAGGAGCATCCTAACAAACCGTTAGTAGCAATCCTGTGGATACTGAAGTTTTTTATGGTAGTCACAGGAAACTTCTGATACTCTTTTATTGTTTTCTTGTATAGAGTCAGACACTTGAAAAAAATTGTTTGAAGACAAAATTCTTTTGGCAGTCACAATACCACAACTTGATAGTATTTCCAGAATTCTGAGTTAAAGTATTTGCTTTGTGAAAGGCCAAAATTGTTTCCTACAAACTTTAAATGCTGTTTTTATAGATTTGATATGCAGCAACACAAGGACAGTTGTGTAGATTTTATTTATACATAATTTATACATATCAAGAAAAGTGCAATTTCTTGCTGAAAGAGGCGCAGGAACTTGATAAGCCCATAGGTAGCTGTAGTTCTTTGTCAGCATAGGGAATTACGTTCATGTGAATTTCCCGATTCTCAGGTGACTAAAAAAACTAGCATTCTGTGTATTAACCTTAAACTCTGGAAGTTTGAGCTTTAAAAACCAAACTTTAATATAACTTTATTTTCTTGTACTTGCCACCCCTTTTTATTTAAGGTGAAAAATAATTTCAGCACTGTAAGGATTCCTAATCAAGACTTCACTTTCTCAACCCCTGCTACTAGTTTTCTTTGCTCTCAGTAATTAGAGCCTTTGAAAACAAAGGTGAAAGCAATTACTTCCATTCTGTTACTGTTCTGTAGCTACTGTGTCCATTTATTATTAGATACCACCCCTGCCCTGCCCCAAAAGGAAAAATGTTTATTGCCCTGTTTATATGCAATATTTTCTGGAGGTTAAGTACAGTTATGCACTAGAATATTAGTTAAGACTCCCCAAGTAGTATGCATGGAAGGTTCTAGAGTGTCCAGAGCAGCCCTTGCACTACAAATGTAATAATAAATATGCTAACCCTGATGATATTGAGGGTACATGATTACCGTACTGTGATATCATATGAGGAAGTTTAGGAGTCCATTTTTCAGGTGGTTTGGTGATAGGAGTAAGAATGTTACTCCCGTATAGATGATTTGGAAGAAAACAGGTGAAATACAAGTATGGTTTCCCCACTGCTGCGTGTGGTCATGGGCGGCCATTAGAGGGAAGCTGGAGAACAGAATGGAGCAGCCCCTGTTCACCACGCCATAGGTCAGGAACACGTGTCATGGTATGGCTGTTGGCATGTGAACATACAGCACTCTCTAGTGTTAGGACTGTTAGGATTTTTAAGATTATATTTGATAGATGTCACAGGGTACCCTTTCGGCACAGCTCAGAACACACTGCTGCTATTTTGGGTCTTACCACTATAAAGTAATAAAAGCACTACCTAACTGACATGAAGAATTGGAATCCCAGAGGGCAGCCTTTGATTTGACTAAGATTAGGCATAACATAGAATTGTGGTCATTTTTCCTTGCAGTTTTATGGAGTTCGTTTTTGAGCGTGGGTAAAATAGTTTTCTGATGAATCATGTCAATAAAAGGAAAAATAATGTAACTACCTCCTAAGTCTGATAAAGGGAAGTTGCTGGTAGTTTACAGCATTCCTGAAGGTGGCTAAATCAAGTATGAGTTCAAAATATTAACTAGTTCTACTTTGGTGATTGCAGGATGCTTCTTAAAGGTCTCACAAATAAACCAGCTTATGCCAAAAATATATGAAGTTCCTTGGACTAAAATGAACTGAGTACATTAAGTACTGTTTGAAAGTACGTACCAAACTCTGGGTTTTGTGAGCAAGCAATCATATCCCCTGTCAAACACGTGAAGTGTAAGGTGTGATGCTGTCTTTGGAAGGCCCCGAAACAAATGTGGGCACAACAGGTGTCATTTGAAGTTGCTATTAACATTTTATTCTTCATGAACATAGACGGATAAGCAGCACTAACCAATTTTGTATTAAAAAAGCAATTTATTTTGGTGTGTTATTCCAAGAGTTGTTGTATACAGCTTTATTTTTTTGGAATTGCAATATCAAATTTGCACTTTGGATTTAGGACTTACTGTCATTACTTTAGTGATACCTACAGAAGTCATCTAATGGATGCTGTACAGAGTAGGGACTACAGGGACCCAAGTTTGGTCCCCATCCCATTTTCAAATAATTTGGGTCTCTTAGGTCCGTGAAACAAAGGCATAAAACAATCTTGATCTTGAAGCCTTGAAGAAAGTCGTTACATATACACAGACAGATAGAAAATGCAAATATGTAAATGTCATTTGATGACTTGAAATAAAGATAAATTTTAGCTAAACTGTTATAGAAGTTCAGATTTCTGTTAATGAGAAATTACAACCTGCAAGGTAAGGTCTTTACATTTTGGTTATTAAGCAGAATCAGTGCTGAGAACTATAGTTAATACTTAGTGGAATGAAAAGTTAATCTACATATCAGGATAATGTATTAGACTATCAAGTATTAATTTGTTCCAGTATGCCAGGTTTTTTACATATTTTCCATATAAGTTGACCTTTTACAGTAGCAGTATAATTTACATTGTTTTTGACAGTGGGGTTAGTATGGTTAAATGTCCTATAAACTTGAAGGATGCTTCCATTTTTGTGGGTCTTAGCCTCTACCTGGTGCTTGCTATTGGGTGTGTTCAGGACTGAGAAAGAGAAATAATGAGTGAAGTAAATAACGATGTTTAAACATAGGCTCTATCATTTAGTGAAGCATAAAAACACTGACACTTCATATAAATGTCTCCGTCTAATGAAAGGATCCAGTACTGAGAAAAACATACCTTTACTCAAGTGTCAGATGTCATCAGAGTCTGCTCTACCAAACTGCTCAACTCGTAAGTGAATACAGCTAAGTAATTTCTGGTCCCCTAAAAATAACCTCCTTTTAATTAAAAGTAATTCTTCAGATAGGTTTTGCTACCAATAATTGCACTGAAATGAAAGCAAATGGTGCTTCCTTGTGCTTTTGCTGTGCCATAGGTTACTGTGCAGCTAGCAAATATAACTAAGAAAAATAAGGTCCTCCCGGGAGTGACCCAGAAACACTCTCTAGGGATATGCCTGCTGACACTTTTGTTAACCCTCCAATCTTCAGCTGGATTCCTCTTCCTGTCCCCTGTTAACCCTCCAATCTTCAGCTGGATTCCTCTTCCTGTCCCCTTTTCACCAATCTCTATTCTGCCTTGAGACACGCGGAGAAGAGAAGGCCTCTTCCATTTGTTATTTCCTCTTGCTTTTAGTATCAATCTCACCAATGGCAGAAGAAAGAGGTTCTTCCCACTTTAACACAAAATAAACTAGTTACTGTTTACAGATAAGGCCTGCTAATGTTACCAGTGAAACTGAAATTCACCCTATGATAACATTCCTTTCCCTTTAAGTGTGCCACACTGCACTACTGGCAAAGAAATCCATCCTATAAACAGCCCAGGAACAAGCGAGTCCAAGGCCTGGTTTCTCCTCCATCCCTTACACTAGCCTGGGGCTCAGGCCACATCTTGTTCCTCTGGTTCTTTTGGCACAACTTGTAATCTAATGTGACAAAGCCTTCCCGTGAGATGGCTTCAAACTAGCAGTGTCACTAGGCTCTGCTGGCGTTAGCACAGACAACTCTACAAAAACATTGGAGGGTACAGAAGGGTGATAAAGTCTTAGTTTTTAGATTTGTCCTTCACTACATAAACACTGAAAAGGTATTAATCCTCATTAAGAAAGAATGCAGTGGCTAATGTCTATAATCACAGCACTTTGGGAGGTCGAGGTAGGCGCATCACCTGAGGTCAAGAGTTTGAGACTAACCTGGCCAACATGGTGAAACCCCATCTCTACTAAAAATACAAAAATTAGTTGGGCATGGTGGCGGGCTCCTATAATCCCAGCTACTCCGGAGGCTGAGGCAGAAGAATCACTTGAACCTGGGAGGTGGGGGTTGCAGTGATTGTGCCACTGCACTCCAGCAGCCTGGGCGACAGAGCAACACTCTGGCTCAAAAAAAAAGGAGCGGTAGGGACTGTCATTCTTGGCAAACTAACACAGGACACGGGAACAGAAAACCAAATAGAGCATGTTCTCACTAGTGGGAGCTAACTTGTAAGAACTTAACGAACACAAAACGACACCGGGGTCGAGTTGATGGGGGAGGGTGGGAGGATGGGGAGCAGCAACAAAGATAAACCTTCACATGTGCCCCTGAACCTAAAATAAAAGTTAAAAAAGACCACGGCACACGTGATTTGGAAGGTGAGGTTATCCGTCAGCCCCATGCTCTTCTCTTTACTATTTCTCCTCCCTCAGTTTTTTTCTGTGCACTATGCTTTCCAGTACACTGACCGAGAAGGTGCCACAAATCTGTTATTTTTAAATTCAATTTTTTTTCCACCTTTTAAGTTTGGGGGGTACATGTGCAGGAAGTGCAGGTTTATTACATACAGAAAAGTGTGTCGTGGGGGTCCGGTACACAGATGATTTCATTGTGCTAAGTACCCATTTGTTATTTTTCCTGATCCTCTCCTCCCACCTTCCACCCTCTCACAGGTCCCAGTGTGTGCTGACTCCCTCTATGTGTCCATGTGTTCTCATCTGGCTCCCACTTACAAGTGAGAACATGCAGTATTTGGTTTTCCGTTCCTGCATCAGTTTATGAAGGATAATGGCCTATAGCTCCATCCATGTCCCTGCAAAGGGCATGATCTTTTTTTTACAATTCTTTCTTAAAGAAGGATGTTTTTAGGAGGAATTGTGTACAAAGATTGTTCCAACAGATAGCCACAGAGGGACCTTTCCAGGCACTGGAAAGACATTCAAGAGGAAGAAAGAGGTTGTACAGCAGGTCTCATTACAGGCAGTAAGTTAGGAAAGAAGAAGGTTTAGATGCACAGGGAGCAAGGAAGTAAACTTGAAGTGGATATGACTAAGCCGAGTGTCTGCTATTTCACATACCCCTGGTGCAGCCATATAATTGTGTCAGATTTCTTTGCAGAGAGTGTGGCTGCTGCTTTGTGTTTCTATCAGGATCTACCATAGCTCCACTGGATATGCCACTCTGTCCACCAAAATGCTCACCATGGATGTGATTCAGCTTGAGAGAAGGGGGCAGAGTGGAGAGGTGCAGGGAAATCTTCAATCTGAGCCAAGGCTGTAGACATGAAGTGCCCCAGAGAGTCGGGCTCCCAAAGAACTCCTTCCAGCAGCAATGACGACTTGGTTCTGGAAGAGAAACAATACAGACAGAATTCAGGGCCATTCATAACATCTGTTGAGTTCCTACTGTGTAGTCCAGGCATCGCGCTACACTCTAGAAATAGAAAGATGAGTAAGGTACCGGCCAGGTCCCCTGGTTTGAACTCATGCCACTTTCCCTTGGTTTACATACCGCTTTCTCACATCTGTAGGTTCTGAAAACCACAGCAGAGGACGCTCACCTCAGTCCCTATTCTGGCACATAAATCATAAAGCAGAATTATGGCAGTGCATGCTTAGTTCTGGCACAATGTGGAAAACATTCCTTGAATAATAAGGACTTCCCCCCAGGAGTCAAAGTACCTAGTGTACCTCCCACTCAACCTGCTGGTTAAAACATTTTAGGACCCATCATTCCGAATTGCCTTTAAAACCTGCTACAAGTTTTTAAAACATTTTCTTCCTTTTTGAGACAGAGTCTCGCTCTGTCATCCAGACTGGAGTGCAGTGGCGCAATCTCAGTTCATTGCAACTTCTGCTCCCTAGGTTGAAGCAATTCTCTCATGTCTCAGTCTCTCGAGTAGCTGGGATTACATGCCTGTAATCTCAGCACTTTGGGAGGCCCAGGCTGGTAGATCACAAGGTCAGGAGATCAAGACTATCCTGGCCAACATGGTAAAACCCTGTCTCTAACTAAAAATACAAAAATTAGCTGGGCATGTTGGTGCGCACCTGTAGTCCCAGCTACTCTGGAGGCTGAGGCAGGAGAATCGCTTGAACCCGGGAGGCGGAAGTTGCAGTGAGACTGCACCACTGTACTTCAGCCTGGCAACAGAGAGAGACTCCATCTCAAAAAAAATAGAAAAAGAAAAATGGATCAAATGGTAATTTCTTCTCCCTCTTCCCTGATTTATAGAATTACTAAATTTGCTAAATTTCGGCTTCTCTCTTTCCTGCCAGAGTCTAGTCATCTTTCCAGATGCAGCTCCAGGCCCCTGACCTCTGCAGGCCCTTCCCTGACTCCACCAGCAGAGACTTCCACTCCAGTGGCTGGCTGACTTCCTCTGGCTGTTGGTCATCATATATTGACCTGGATGGTCTTACGGGTCCGTTGTATTTTCCCACCTAGATTCCAAGCACCTGGGGCTGGACCATGTCCCAGGTCTGTCTCACAGGTGCTTGATGTAACACTACTCATTATACACTCAGTTACTGCTCTGTTGAGGCTGCCGAGCTGATGGAACGTGGCCCCATGAGAAGTTTCAGAAATACACAGACAGTGACAGCACTACTTAACGAGAGGCTGAATCCTGATTCTAGTTTGTTATGACCAGTTTCGTTACTGAATGTGCTTATGCCATAGAAACATAACTTGTACCCAAATCTCAGCAAAAGGCCACTCTGATCATCCTCTGATTGTCAATGCCCCCAAGCTCAAGTATGTGCTGGAAAAGTAAAGTAATTTTAACACTAACCCAGGTGAACAATAATTAGGAAGGTGCATTTTCAGTATTTTATAAAAAGGAATCAAATGATCAGGTGCTTTGGCTCACGCCTGTAATGCCAGCACTTTGGGAGGTCGGGGCAGGTGGATCACCTGAGGTCAGGAGTTTCAGATCAGCCTCACCAACATGGTGAAACCCGGTCTCTACTAAAAATGTAAAACTTGGCGTGGTGGTGGGTACCTGTAGTCCCAGCTACTCGGGAGGCTGAGGTAGGAGAATCACCTGAACCCAGGAGGCGGAAGTTGCAGTGAGCAGAGATCGCTCCATTGCACCACTGCAGCCTGGGCAAAAAGTAAAACTTCATCTCTGAAGAAAAAAAGGAGAATCAGATACGAATTACTTTTGGATAATCTATATATACCACTACTCTTAATTGATTCAAGTTATAGTTAATATATGTATAGTTTTATAATACATGGGGTTTTTGATCATGTCTAATTTTTGAAATGAATAAAATTTTAAATATAAGCCAAGCTTGTGAGGCTTCCTGTGGTCAGATCTTTCGAGAATCTTCTTCTAAAACTATTAACCATCTTTTTGTTGTGTGGTGAATCCTGCATTTTTAGACCGCCCTATAAATGGGTCACTTAAATTGTTGGCCTCTAGAGGGCAGTTTCACCACAATTTTTCCTGATTTCCTCCTTCCACCTTCCACACTGGTCAGCAGGAGCCTGGTTCACAGCACTTACCAAGTCTAATCTGTGAAGGCTTCCCCAGCCCTTCAACCCACTGTTAAGACTCCTTCTTCATACTATTCATTAGCATTTAATCCTATAGCAATATAACTATTTGATTTTCCATGTATATAAATCTTATTTTCAATAACAGGGACTTTGCCGTCTCTGTCTTTCTCTCACAGAGCCTAGCACAGTTGTATACAGTGTCATAACCTAAAATAAATGGATGAATGCAATCGGTGCTTTAGAGGTATATTTTAAGGTTCAACATTTTTTCGTTTTACTGGAGTGCAGTGGCGTGATGCGGCTCCCTGCAACCTCCACCTCCTGGGTTCAAGCGATTCTCCTGCCTCACCTTCCTGAGTAAGCTGGGACTACAGGCGTGCACTACCACACCCAGTTATTTTTTGTATTTTTAGTAGAGATAAGGTTTTATCACATTAGCCAGGCTGGCCTTGAACTCCTAACTTCAGGCGATCTACCCGCCTCAGCCTCCCAGAGTGCTGGGATTTTAGGTGTGAGCCACCATGCCCGACCAAGGTTAAACTTTTTAACCCACCATATCGAAATGTAAAATGTGTATACTTTTTGATCTAGCAATCCCACTTTTAAGATTATCACCTGTGGGATATTTGCTCAATTATAAAAAATAAATGGGTACAAGAATGCTCACTATGGAATTGCTTGAAATAGCCCCCAAAAATGGGGGGGGGGCCAAAGACTTGTGGATCACTTGAGTCCAGGAGTTGAAGACTAGCCTGGTCAACATGGTGAAACCCTGTCAGAAAAGTAAAAGTAAAAAAAAAAAGAAGAAAAGAAAACCCTGTCAGAGCCAGACCCTGTCTAAAAAAGGTGTGTGTGTGTGTGTGTGTGTGTGTGTGTGTGT